CCGGCGCCCGGGAACACGCCCTCGCCGGGGCGCCCAGACGGTCCCCGACGGCTACTCTCGCGCCTGCGCTGCCGAGCGGGGCAGACCCCGCAGTCGTGACGCCCGGGGCGGGCGCGGGAAAGGCTCCTCCCTGCTGGGCCCAGCGGAGGGCGCGTCTGGTCCTCGCGGCGGGAGGCTCGAGAACACGAGCCCCCTTCCCGCGGGAGAGGAGGCCTGCGGGGCGGGTGGCTGCCACCGCACAGCGCGGCCCGAGCGCTGACCGCCGCCTCGCCCGCAGACCGTGGTCGGGGACGCGGAGTACCACCACTTCCGCCACCGGCTGCCGCTGACCAGCGTGCGCGCGGTGGAGGTGGGCGGGGACTTGCAGCTGGACTCGGTGCGGATCTTCTGAGCGGAGGCCGGGGCGGGGCCCGGGCCGAGCCGGCCAATAAAGCGTCAGCCCCAGCGCCGTGTCTGTGTCCCTTCGCGGCCGGGGAACTGCGGTCGGAGGGTCGCGGCCCCGCCTCGGAGTCGCACAGCCAGTCCGTGGCGTGCCTGGAACTGGCTCCGCTGAGGGCAGCCTCTGTCCGAGATCTCGGGAGGTCGCGATCCGGGATGGGGGGGCCTGGGTCTCCTCTTGAGGCCGTTTGTTGGGGATTTTTTTGGGCTGGAGTCTCCCTCTGTCGCCCAGGCTGGAGGGCAGTGGCCGCTCCCGGCCACCGCAGCCTCGACCCGCCGGGCTCCGGCGATCCTTCCGCCTCCGCCTTCCGAGTAGCCGGAGCTACGCGCGCAGGCCACCGCGCCCGGCTAGTTTCTGGGATTTATTGTAGAGACTAGGTGTCACCAACTTGCCAGGCTGGTCTCGAACCCCCGGGCTCAGGCAGTTCTCTCGCCTCGGCCTCCCAAAGTGCTGGGATCACAGGCTGCGCCAACGCGCCCGGTCTGCAGCTTTTCTGTTTTTTATTTTTGCAAAAAATGTGGTTAGGGCCGATCCGCTGGCCTTTGGAGCCGGGAGGGGCTCAGGGCCCGCTGGGTGTCCCCTCCCGGTCTGAAGGCCCCCGACATGGGGCCCTCCGCGAAAGGGCGAATGGGCCCCGCCTTCTGGGGGCTCGGAGACCCCAGACCCCCGCGGGAAAGGGCGCACGAGGCGCCCCGCGTCCGTGAGCCCCGCCCCCTC